AAGTTTTCAATTTTGAATCGTATGATAGAAAAATTGCTTAATAATTTGTTACTTTGTTTTACATTATTTAATTCAATTTTAATTTTAAATGCAATGCAATGTTTTGCAAGAAAAATTTTGAATTTTGATAGTTTTTTTAATATGTATGTTTTGCTTAAGAAAAATTAGAAAAAATTTATGTAATATTTAATTATATCATTTTATTTACTCTGTAAGTCCTTTTGCACATTTAACTCTTTAATCCCAAAGTCCAGTAAATGAAAGAGAAATATGTTGTTTGGCTAATGATATGGCCAGAGACAACATATTATTTATATTCTTATAATGGGCCTTGACTTAAAAAACTAATACATTTATGTAATTTTTATTATATTTCCATTAATTGCAAAAGCATGAGAAAGAACAAAAAAAACGTTATAATATAAAACTTAATTTATTACTTAAACTTAAGCTTAGTTAAAATGTTAAATATTTACTTTATTGTTTTGTTATTCGTCAAAGTTGGGTAAAGAAAGTCAGATTTTTGTAAAATCTTTTATGTAAACTTTCATATTGTTATTCATACAAAAAAAAAATTAATCAAAAATGTCCGAAAATTTATAGTTTTAAGAGAAATTTTGTTAAATCATATGCATGAATAGTGAAGCAACATACAACAATAGAAAAATTTTAGGCTACACACATACATTCTTTTTAATTTATTCAATAGATATATACACAAAATACCTAAATGTATTGAATGCTTGCTTTTTTTTTTTTTTTTGTTAATGACTCCTTTCATACCTGTCCATTAACTTATTTGCACATTCGATGCCGAAAAAACAAGCAGCATTAGCTGGAAATGCGCGTAACATAACCGCTGTAACACCATAATACAAAGCTGTAACACCTTCTTTCGCCATCAAGTCTTTGAAGACACTGCGTATACCATGCGTATAAGTGCCTTCGGGAGCTACAAGTGAACGAGCAAACGGTTGAGAAAAAATATTCGGCTGGGAAAGATTTTTAAGCATCCAAGATTTCAGTTGAAAGGTGTTTTAGGCAAAGATTTTGTTTTTTTTTTTTTTTAACTTAACGTAACCAAAGTAATAAGAAATCTTTTTTAGATCAATTTTCTTCTTCTAGACGAAATTTTAAGATGTGCGTTCAATACACTGACGAATATCGCCAAATCGATTTCGCTTTTCATTCTCACCAAAAGACAGAATTTCATCATACTGTTTTAACGGAAGAGCGGATGTGGCTAAATCGAGTCCGCAGTTCTCTCTGACATATCCTCTGTCGTGAAATATGTTAATATATTTTTAATTTGCTACGATTGCCTATGAAATGCTGATTTCTGAATGAATAATGTCTATGAATCGAAATATACGCGAAATATGCGAGCGGATGATTCTTCGCTTTAGCTTGCAATTAAATATCACTTCAAATTCGGCCCATTTTTAATCCTCTTTTCAGATATTTCAACTCATGTGTACACCCAGCCCTTTTTTACAAGATTGTAAAATAGCACGGGTCCCCAATAAGAAAAAATACACCTTTTTTCACGAATTTATTGTTGTACAAGTAATCAGAAGTCGGTTAGTTTGTGCCACCAGTTATATTGGTGAATTGGTCTATTAGATGGAAAATCCGAATTTTATGATCACTTTTTTCATTTTCTCATTCTGTACTACAAGTTGAGCACTTCGTAGGAAGCAGTGAACAATTTCGATAAATTCCTACTTGTTAATACTCAAACTAAGATACTTTTAATTCGATGGCGAAATTTTCAATATAGTTTGTATTAACGATAATTGTGAAATTGATTTTTATTCCTAATGTCAGTTTAAAAATGCATCTGTTACGCCTACAGATGAATTGAATGAATTCTTGTAGTATAGGTTTCCTTTTCTTTTGCGCGGTTTTTTTGGGAAAATATTTACAGTCTTTTCATCTTGTACGATTTTTTAAAGTTTTTTACACGATTTTCTTAACACGGTTTTCTGAGGAAATTACCGTGCAAAAAAAGACTTGAGGTTGACTTAAATAGTTTGTTTTGTAAATGCTATGTAAAACTTGAACAAGAGATAAGGCAGACGAAAATAAGGATTACTTACCAGATTGTAAGCGACTTTTGAGAACATCAGGAGGCATGCCAATCACCCAGTAAGACATACCACTGATCCCTCCAGCGAACAGTGCCCCTAATAGGCTAACATCGTTTGGCGCATTTCTTTTCTTCAATTCATTTTGTATGAATTCATAGGTCGTAAAATACATACCATTCGAAGGTACATCTTAGGAGATAACAAATTATAAAATACATTAAATTTTTAAAGGGAAACAAGATAAAATACAGATTAAAATATTAAAACAATTGCATTTTCATAACAATGGTATAAAAATATCTTTTTTTCTTGTTTAAATTTTATTTTAAAAACGTCTTCTTCAATTATATAAATTTTGATGTAACTTTTCAACTTAAGGATAAGAAAATTCTCTACTATTATACAACTAGAAGTTTGGAGCAATTTTATTAAATGCTTTATTAACCAATTCGATTCCAAAGAAACAGGCAGCATTAGCAGGGAAGGCACGTATCATTACGGCACTAATGCCTCGATATAATGCTAAAGGTCCTTCCGTTTTCATTAAATCCTTGAAGGCACTGCGTATGCCATGTTTATAATAACCAGGAGGTGCTAAACAAATAGGACAGAAATATTTATTTATTTGTTTGTTAATGTTTTGATGTCTACTTACAGGTCTGCAGACGACTTTTTAAGACATCAGCAGGCATGCCTACTATCCAATATGCGATACCAGATGAACCGCCAGCTAATAATGTAGCCGCCATGCTAACCTCGTTGCTGCCCGTTAACCGTTTCGCCTGTGCTTGTATGTACTCATATGTTACAAAATAGGCGCCGTTAGCGGGTAGATCTTAAAAATTTTGATTTCATATAATCTTTATTCTTTTAATATTTTAAATGAAAATACCACGCACACACACACACACGCATTAGAATAAATTTTATCAAAGGGAAAAAAACACATACACAAACAAACGCACACATAATTGGAATGTATTTACATCGGCAACGATTAAATAGATCCAACCCATCGCCTTGACTTCTATGGCACATTCTTTATAAGATTGAAATCGTATTCATAGAAATAGGAACGAACGTTGCGTTCGACTAAACAGTAAATAGCGCAGCATAAAACCATCGAAGAACTTATTTCAAACGGAATTAATCCACTAACTGTTGTGAACATCTTAATACTTTGTATTTGATAAGCACTTACATCATATTGGCTATCAAGTCGATCATATTTTATACCTAATGTTCGAGAAAATTTTTTAAGAATAAACACTTTTTATCATGACAACAGCTTAGGCAAATACCAAGGTTGTATTCGACTGAAAGCTATGAATCAATGCTAAAGATCTGTCTCTGATCATTTTTCTCTGGTCACTATTTTTTACAAATTCCCCTATTAAGTGTTTAGAATGGATCTTATATAAACAAATTTTTAATAGTCTATAAGTTTCATTATCCATCCCTTCATTGTGTGTCCATATGGCTAGTCCTGAATTTTTCGTTGAAGTCTATATGATATATCAGACCAATACATGCTTTAAATCATATATTTTCTCTGTTGTAGTCGCAAAATATTAACTTCAATTTGGGACGCGATCTGCGGCCATCAACTGTCTGCCAGCTTTTCTTACGGTAAGCACAGCAAAAGCCGGCTGAATAACTGATCGGGGTCAAGTCATGTCAACTTTTACTGCATGTTCGGAACGGAAGAACATATTCAGTATACTTCACAACTTGATGATGTGTATAAATTTTGACCATCACGACATATACATGTCTACGATTTCGTATTGCAGCTCAAGGTAAACTTCAGCCTAGACACCTCAGCAATAATGTTTTAAACATTATCGCAGAACTTTCAAAACGTGCAAATCGTACAAAACATACACACAAGAGCGAATTGATAAATTTGTTGTATTCCTTTAATGAGAATGAAAACAAAATTCGCCACATATTTTAGATCAAAACGCCAGATATGCAAGTCTCGCCCTAAGACAAGTGGTTTCTCTTTTTCTTTTTTATTTATTTTTACATTTCTTTTTTTTTTTTTTTCTTTTTGATTTTTAAAACATATACTACACACATATATACATATAAATAAATCTAGAGAGCGATAACTCACATCCTTTACGTCGTTAATTCCTTCATATATAACTTGTATGTAAACAAAAAATTTAATCTTTCATTTCTTATATTATTTCTTATTTCATTCGATGATGTTTTTAATATATAAATTACTGTGCGTGTAGAGCTTGAAAAGGCAGCGGCGGCGTTATGAATTTATTTTAAGTTGTTTTATATTTTTATTAAAATTTATTTAGTTTGATATCGGCTTTTAGCGCATACACGACGACATCAGTCTTAGCTTTAACGTTTTAATGGAATTTCATTTTGCTAAACATAGCGAGAAAAAATTTTAAAAGTTACAATAACAAAATAAAAGTTTTCTTAGAAAAAAAAAAAAAGAAAAAAAAAACTTTAATTCAACAAATTTGAAAACACTATGAAGTTGTTTTTAATCATAATTTTCATATTATTTATAGTGAGTAAAAATTTTAAATTCCTTCTAGGTTTTATGATAAAAATTGATAATTCAGATAATTCGATGTTTTCTTTTTTTTATTTGTGGAAATTAAAAAAAAATTCCATCGAAAATGAACGGACTTAAACCGAACACTTATGTTCTAGACCGAATCTTCTAAAATCGCCAGGTGATTAGTAAAAACTACATGTCTCAGCACAAATAGAATCCGTTCCATTACGAACGAGAAGGCTCCTTTCTGCGTCAGAGCCCACTCTAGGGCTGCGCATTGCTCTTTCAATTTAGCTTTTACACTATTGTCTTGCTAGTTTCTTCAAAGGTATACTCGTATACTCGTGAAACACAGAGGATGGATCGTATGAAATCAGATTGTAATGAGACGACATGACAAAATGACAATAATATTTTCTAAAATACATTATTATGGCAAACACTTATCCATAAAGAAAAAATGTTATGAGAAAATTCAACAAGGAGAGATGGACGGATCCTGATGTATATTTTCATGCATGAAAGGTAGCAATGAATTCTTTAGAAATTTGGATTACAATAGCATAAGAATTTTTACTCCGCAATCATACGCGTACGTTTCCACGTTTTAGCCTCGTGTCTCAATTTCAACATTTTTCTTATGAATAGATTTAGATATACGATTTTAAAAATTATATATCTCCGTGATTGATTATACGGATTTAATGTTTCCTGCACACATACTTACTTATTAATAAAAGTGAAAGATCAGTTAAATGTTAGGTTAGGTTCATTATATGAATAATGAAGAGAATAATAGTTCCGGTGTAATACACCGGTGCTTATGTAAATAAAAAATTTAATGAAGTAAAATTGACACATTGCTGTTTTGTCAATTTTTCACATGCCTACTATATCTATCATATTTTCCTTTTTTTTTTCCAACTAGCACAGATTTGACCTTAGCCTATGTTTAAAGGTTTCTTGATTTAAAAGTATATAGCAATTTTCTAATATATTTTATCTCAAACACTGATAGACAGAGTGTACGATAAAATTATTCTTTCCCAGACGTATAGATTAGCGACTAAATAATACACTAATTCGCCTGAGTGGCCGGCTAATAATTCAATGGTCACGGATTCAAATCTCAAATGCGGTAGAGTTTTCAAATAAAGCCGATAATCTTAGATGCTTAAAGTCCTATTAAGACTTTCTTAGTCTTCGAATTTCTTTATAAAAGTCCACTAATCGCAAAAACTAAAATGGAAATCTGTTAGAGATATTGACTTGAAACTTAGTACTTACAGTAACCAGGATCAACTATAAATTAATTGTAAAAGTGTACATGATTTACTAGGAGACGTGCTTATATCAAAATGAATTTAGAAAAATTCAGAATAAAAATGTTAATAATCAGTTGACCAGCGCAACGCAACGTCTTTAATTAACAAAAGTTGGACTTTTTATGCATTCGATTAAAATATGCTGCCTCTTATCAAACGTTCAGTACCTTTTTTACTTGTTTCCTCTAATTATATAATGTACAATGATTTTTCTATTGAAATGGAAAAGAAATTGTTTTAAATTTTTTTTGCTTATCCTGTTTTTCGTCCAAGAATAATCTAAAAGATTTCACCTTTTAAACTGAATGGAGGGCACTATTATTGGAATTTACCCGCTTCTCAACCCAATTGCAGAAAAGAAAAAACAATTTTTTTATTTTTCTTTTATTTTTTTTTCAAATATTCTCTTAATTAAAAATTTTTCAACGATAAACAAGAAACGAACGCTTTTAAAAAGAAGTATCGTTATCGCAAAAATTACATAAATTGAGTTCGTTCTCTTTGCAACAACATCAACATCAACAATGTGCAGTTAGCATACAATGATTACGCGGAAATCTTACAACTTTATAAGGAATACCACGCGACACATACAAACGGACTTTTGACATATAGATGTGTATGCATAAGCATTTTAATACAATATAATATTTTCCTTTTTATTTATTAATAATATTCTTATAATTTCCGTACGCATTCTTCATGCATAACGCAAACAGCAGCAGCAAATTTCTATAGCACATCAGCTAAATAAAAGAAATCACCGACTACAAGAACAGCAGCAACAACAAGAACAACAACAACAACAACAACAACAAGAATTTAAAAACAATCGTTACAAACGTAAGCAGCAACGGCACCAGCAGCACGATTATGATGACATAACACATGATGATCAATACAATCGTATTGATGATGCCTTTAAAGATATGGTAGCGGAAATGGATGAAGAAAATGACCAGATGGAATCGGATCTATCGCAGCCGCTGATGGTAGAGATTGATATAAATAAATGTCCGCAGGGTTGCGTATGTCAATACGCTCACTTTAGGGATTTGCCGATATCACGTTGGATCAACTATATGAATCAGAAAAGAGAATCGGTCAGATCCGCTGACGAAGACAGCTTAAGTGCCGATGACTTATTAGATGAAAACGAATCATCTTATGGAGCAGATTTAAGCGATCATTTGAATCCATTTATTAAACAGTCAACATGTATTATACAGGATCATACAGATTTGGAAAGTTTAGTGAAAGCTTTGCCCCACGATATAAGAGCCTTAATTTTATTATATACTGGCGTGACGCAAAACAAAACGGGTGAGAAAATCGCTTTGCAAAATCGTCATATAGGTCTAAATATTGTCATAATACAACATTTGTCTGGCGTCACGTACGTCGAAAATGCGGAAATTGTTTATTGCTTTCTTTCCATTTTTTTGTTTTTGTTTTTTTTTTTTTCGATTTCAGTCAATGCCAGCACATTAAAACCTTTAAATCGCTTAAACACGTTGGAGGTGCGAGGTTCCGATCAGGGCGGTATACGTTTCATACTCGATATCCCGTTAAGTTTCGTGCAACATGCCAATTTTGAGTTCATTACGCTATTTGGTTCGGACACATATAAGAGGCCACAAAATACTGTTCATCCCAAGGATGTATTTGACTATAAACCCAACATTGAGCTTATGAATGATTTCGATTTCACCAGTAACGGTAATAGAGGTAAAGAGGATCAAACATTTTTGGTAGACTTACAGCAAAAAGCCGAGCGTGATGAATTGGAAATCATTCCATATGAAGTCTACCGTGAAGAGGTTAAGAAGGCGCGTATGCCCATTTTCTACGGTTGGCAGCATTTGGAAGTGCTACGCATTCATTCGTGTGGTTTTCGTGATCTCTCTTGGGAAATGTTCTTAGGTCTAGATAATTTACAACATTTGTCATTGGAGCGCAATGATATCGTTGAGTTGCAACCATTTTCCCTTTCGGGTGCTACACAATTGAAAACCTTATCGCTCGCGCATAATCTTATAAAAAATTTGCATTATCGCGATTTGGCCGGTCTGTTCAAATTGCAAGTATTGGACTTAACTGGCAATCGTTTAAGCAAATTAACGGAATTAAGTTTTCCCCCATTACCGAATTTGAAAAGTATTGATTTCCGTGATAATCCCATACGTTATATATTTCCGGCCACGTTTTGGATAATGAATCGAACACAAGAAATGTTTTTCGGCTCTAAGGAAGCACCTCTAGAATTATGGGGTAATGTACCTTTCAAGGCTTTACATCATTTAAAAGCATTGCACATCTCTAATGTATCGATAGATAGTTTGGACCAAAATATATTTAAGGTATGATTTTTCATATTGATAATTAATTTTTAATAAACTAAATTTAAATGCAATATTTGTTAGGATTTGTTGTCTTTGGAAATATTAAGATTGCATGGCGAAATACGTTCCGTGGAATTCGATGCCTTTTCTGATCTTTCCAATCTTAAAGAATTGGATGTAAGCAATTGCCAATTAAGAGATATTTCTATGGATGCCTTAATGGGTTGCAAATATTTGCATGCTATTAATTTGGGATATAACAATCTTTCCAATATACCACCGGGCCTATTTGACGATCAATTTAGTCTGGAAGAGATTTATCTGAACAATAATCAATTGAAGTCCTTGCCAAACTCTCTATTCCAACAGAGGAAATTGAAACTTTTACGTCTCAATAATAACCCTTGGAAATGTAATTGTGAAATGTCGACATGGAAAGCGAAAATCACCAATCAGGAGAAGGGTACGAATATTGAACGTTGCATAAGTGACTATTTAACAGGAAAAAAGTTATCTTGTCGCAAAGTGGACGGCTATAAATTTAATCATAAATACGCACCAAGATGTGAAAACTTTAAAGGTCGTAGTGTATACTACGTGTTGCGGAAACAAATGCAATGCGGCCCAATTAGGATTATGCGTTTACATCGAAATGGAACTACAACTCAACGAATACCGCATTGGCGCAAACTGCAAGAGCGGCGGCAATTGTATAAAGATCGTTTGAATAGCAAGAATGCAAATAGCAATCAATTGTTGTGGCAACTGGAGAAGAACACGAAAATCAGAAATAATGATTTAAAAAAATCTTTTGAGCAACAAGCAATTATTTATAATTCCGGTCAGTCTAGTAAACCAATAGCAGAAAATACAGTAATAACAACAACAGTAATATCAATTCTTGAAGGAGAAATATCAAACGATATATAATATATATAATCATAACACAATAAGAGTTTTCTTTTCTTAAGTAGTATAGGAGTGTATTTTTAAGGAAAACTATCAGTTTTTTCTCAATGCGTAAATTTGCATATGTTAAGTAATTAAGTAAATCATTTATACATATAAAGTTTATGTTAAATATCATTGTAATGGGCAAATTAATCGCACTTTCACAGTCATACGCAATATATAAGGACAAATGTCAAAAATAATTACTTACCTCTTAATAAAGTAGCAAAACTACCTTTATAAATGGAACGTATACCGCCCTCTTTGTACAACTTGAAGGCACAGTCTAACATCCCGTTATATTTTCTTTCACCGGCCGAGGCTTGTTGGACTTGAAGCAAGCATTTAATGCGCTCACCAGGAGCCATTATTATGGTAGAAAGCAAACCCGAGAAAGATCCAGCCACAAAAATTTGTCTATATGTTAGTTTGGTACTATCTTCGGTCTGCTGAACGCGTTTGCCCAAAGAGTAGCCGGCAAAGCATAAGGCAAAGATAGGTGTTATTCCAACTAAAGGCGCTGACATTCCCTTATATAAACCTCGATAACCTTCATTTTTAATAGTTTTTCGAGCGCAATCGAATGTACCCGTATACATGGGTTGCTCACCGGGTGCTGGCCGCGGCATAGTTTGTAAGCGCACCTACATACATGCAAAAAAAAAAAAAAAAAGTTAATTATCCAAAATTTAGAGCTATAAAATTTCATAACATTCACCTTAATGGTGTCTAAAGGATGACCTGTTACCACAGTACACACTCCACCAAACCCACCCCCTATAAAAGATTTTAAAGGGTTAGCTTTGCGTTCCTGAGCGTCTGACATTTTGCCGATTCCTTTTGCCTGAAGCTAAAAGATCATAAGTTATTTAATCATGAATTTTGTATAAATAGAAATAAACATTAGACCTTTTATTGAATAAATGCCGCAGAGAGATGTTATATTGATAAGGTATTGCACCGACAAATCAAAGGTCTTTAAATTGAGAAATAAACCGACTCTAATGCATCTATGCAATTCGCCAACAATCGTGCAAAAATTATTTAACAGCAAAATATTCGCATTGCGCTCATTCTTCAACTGCAAATAGCACAACTTAGCTAAAAAAGAAATGAAGAAGAAGAAAAAGGCGAATCATGTATCATGTCTTTCATTCATAAATTGAATAAATTGATTTAAACTTACCTAATTGAGATGTTAAGGAGAATCGAAGACGTGGTACAAAGTCCAAAAGGTCTCTAAACGATATTTCGGAATAACAAACAATACGCTTTTCAGAGATATTTTTTTTAATTTTTATTAATTTTTTAAATTTTAAGCAAACATAATTATGTATAATTATGTTGTGTGAGAATTTTTCTACTAGCGAGAAAATAAAAATTAAAAACTAAATTTAATTTTTAACATCTGTTTTTAACAGATGTCACAGTCTAAAAAGCATTGCAAAGCAAGTAAGAAAACCAGCTCCTATTATACAGCTATGAAAAAATAAGGCATTAAAAGCTTACGTAGCCGTAACGATTGTTTATTGTTTTTGGTTAAAACAAAAGAAAAATAAATCTGTTGCACAAAATCTCGCAAACCATTTTCTAATTGCTTTGTAATTTATTGCATTTTCATGCCAAGCCAATTTAATCATTTCCGTAGATTTTCCTGGTTAAGCTAGCTAAAAAAGTTCTGCGTTCACGTAGTGCCCTAAATGACATCTATCTCTTTAAACTTTGATACATACTGAATGAGTATTTGTAAATGGTTCAAAATGATATCGTTCACACGTCAATGTCTAAGTTATCTATATGCGATATTTCAGTTAAATTGAACACGTCAGGTACGTTTTCTGAAGCAACCAATTTCGTACTTAATTTTATTTTTACGTTCGTTTTAAGTAGTAAACAAATAAATCAATAATATGGTAACGCGACTTTCAATTAGGTTTATTATTTGGGATTTATTTACCATTAAACAATAAAAGCCCGAAGAGATAGTACATTTTTCTAACTTCGGTTACTGTGACATTTTGTATAAAATTTTCCAATTCAATTTGTTCTAGAAATTGAAAAAATAAAAGGCATGGAAACGAAAACTTTAAATCTTGGAGATCAATTTCCCAATTTTCAGGCTGAAACCACTCAAGGTAACATTGATTTCTACGAATGGATGGGTGAATCGTAAGTATATATCTTTTGGCATATATATGCAATATTTATTAAATGCGTCTGCAGCTGGGCCGTTTTGCTTTCTCACCCTGCTGATTATACGCCGGTTTGCACCACCGAACTGGCTCGCGTTGCTGCACTGTTACCTGAGTTTGAAAAACGTAACGTTAAACCTATTGCTTTATCTTGTGATACTGTGGATTCGCACAAAGGTTGGATTGAAGATATTAAATGTTACGGCAGTAAGTTACATTTGAGGTTAAGTTATTCGTATTAAAATTGTAAAGGTTCTTCCACCTATCAGAATTATCTAGTTTTGATTACCCAATCATCGCCGACAATGAACGTAAACTAGCTTTAAAGTTGAACATGCTTGATAAGGATGAAATTAACGCTGAAGGTATACCGTTGACTTGTCGGGCTGTATTCATTGTTGATGAAACTAAGAAACTACGCTCGCAGATACTTTATCCCGCCACAACGGGAAGAAATTTTAAGTAAGCATGCAAGTATAAACTGTTACGAGTTTGGAAATACAGTAATTTAGAAATATTATCAGAAACCCCATAGGCATATGCTCGCTTTAAATCAGTTCCAATTAAAAAAGTGTCAAAAATGACAAAACTTATATGTATTACCTATTAGTTTAGCAAAATACGGGAGAGCGTGTTCGCCAATCTATTAAAATTGACTTCGAACGAGAATTGTTTAAATATAAAAATTTATAATGTCGTGTATATAATATATTTATATAATATATTTTCCATTTTTAACAGTGAAATTTTACGCGTTATCGATTCCATGCAATTAACTGGGAGAGAATCCTTGGCAACTCCAGCAGATTGGAATGTACGCTTCTTTTTATTGTAACCAAATTTATTCCTAATGGAGTTTTAAACATTTCCTTCTTTTTAGCAAGGAGATACTTGTATGATTTTACCTACACTTTCCAACGAAGAAGCTTCAAAAAAGTATCCTAAAGGCTTCAAGACATTTAATGTACCTTCGGGAAAGACGTATATCCGCCAAACGCCGCAGCCATAATGCCAGCCAAGTCCTAAAAGTTGGTTTTTTGTTTTGTTTAAACTATACTAGTATTAACTTTCCATTGCATTTTAATTAAATTGTCAAAAATAAAACGCACAATTTAAAGAAAATAAAAATCTTCCAGACATGTGTGTTTTCGATGTTTCGATGTTCGAGAAACTAGCAAACAAATCGAATATTTGTCAGATCAGTTTTTGTTTAAAATATTCGGTAATTCCATCTAAATTAAGCGAAAATATGAAACAGGGTCAGAGAAGTTTCTCATAAGGATTTCAATCCCTTAAAAGTGTTTTATTTAAAACCTAATTCTTACTGCATTGCATACTTACGGTGTATAAAATTCTTTTAAAAAAGAGTTTCGATTTTAATGCCATTCTTGTTTTACAAAAAATTTATTGGAATGATAAACAAAAGATAGAAAAGAATATTTCACATTATGCTTATAGTAGAAAACATACCCAGCCTTTCTAAAATAAAAACAAAATTTATATATAGAAAACAAAACGGAAAAAATATAAAGGAAAATTTAACATATTTTTTGTAAAATTCACAACACAAATTCGATAAGCAATTTTTATATGTACATAGAAAACCAGCTTGGTCTGATCTTGGCACCAAGCTATAGCAAACAATTATTATTATTTATTATTATTTGAAAGCTTACATCCTTAAGAAAATTATTTAAGTAACGTATTTGTCGAAACTAATGCGCCCAATAACTCGATTTTTGTCTTCGAAAATAGTAATGAATAAATATTATTTCAATTCATTTACGATGAGACCTGCTAAGCAGTTGTGCGCCCCTTTTAATAACAAACGGCCATAGTATCAAAAGAATGAACCAAGCAGGAGATATATTTAAAAATGGCCACCAATTAGGATGTTTTGACCTATGAATTATTGATGATGAATTATTTGCTAAAAAGGACTGCGATTTTCCCAATATGTGATGGATTTTTATAACCGATTTTTCCAAATCGATTAGGCGTTGATTAACGGCAGCTATATCGGAGTTCATTTTTGCTACGGTGAGTTGTACCTGCTTAAGAATGTGCGTGTTATGCATTAAGGATTCATGAAAATCACTTTGCTCATTGAAAGGATCTACGTATTCATCATCTGACTGATCGATGCTACCATTCGTCATGCTTTGATTGTCAACAGTAGAAGTGGTAGAGGTGGCACCCGCCATTTGTGATTTGTTAACTGGCATTAGGCGTATACCATTTATCTTAGCATTCTCAGTAGACTGTTCGCTGGTGTTCACAGTTATTTGTTCCGAGTTTTCTTCAGTTAAATGCTGGCTGCCAATGACGGACTGAAAATTATTTTTCTTTTAAAAAATTTATAAATAAACAAATATTATATCATTTACTTCAGATGCAATAGCGTCGGCATTGTTACTACGTCCATGATGGGGGCTATTGGTACGTGAATTGAACGGTGAATTAGGATGAGATTCCGCTAATTCTTTCATGCCAGGTGCTATGATATCCAATTCATCTAAATTAATATTTTCTAATCCCGATAAACTGCCAACGAAATTTTGCACATTTTCCGTAAAAGACATAGTTTCTATGATTTCTTGAAGATCTTGCACATATTTCTGCATAGCCTCCTCCTTACTGAGATGACGATTCTTATCCCAAGCGTCCCATTTAGTTCGACCCACGACATCCCATATTCTCGGTTTACTTTGATTGCAAGGACCTTCAGTTGCTTGTTTGTATAAGCCATAAAATTTTAACATCATCGTAGTAGTGGGTTGATATGGCCCATGTTTTGGTAAGCCTTTAATAACATTAACTGCCGCTTGAAATCGTTCTTGCACAGATGCCATAATAAATATATACTCTGCAATAAAAAACATATTTTGCAACATTGAATTATAATCAATTTTAATAAACAGAGTAAAGAAATATAAAACTAAGGATATATGGAATTAAAGGTATTTACAAATTAGGTTCTTTTGTCAAGAATATAATCTAGAAAATTATTTATTGCGCTATTTAAGTTTCCCTCAAATGAACTTTTTTCTTTTTTGAACTTTGCTCACTTGGTTGTACATGATCTATACCTCTTTATTAATAATGTAGCACCAGCTTTTCACTCTAACTGCAATTCTTAAATTTTCAATTAATTGGTTTATTTGAAGTTCGAATTGTTTTTTTTACTTGAAGTCTTTCTTAAGTTTATGTTATTGAAATATATTGTTTACTTTCTGTAAATATGCTTAGTTTTTCTTTTTAATAACTTTCTTATAAAAATATCTCAGATAACGATATACTATATAATTTATCTGAACACCTGGCAACTTATTTCTGTCTGCAGAGTTGTAATGGCTTCAGACACCGGTTGCAAAACCTTGTAAAGCTTTTTGAGCTTTTTGTGCGTTTGCAGTTGTAAGGCTAGTATCCTGTGTGGCTTCTGTTGCAAAATATTGGTGCTGTATGTCCTTGTCCACATTTGTGCTGTACGTGCATATGTATGTTGTTGCTGTAAATATTGTTGCCTCTTCGTTTATTTATCATAATTTTTAAACAATTGTTAACATTATTAATATTATTATTGTTATCATTATTATTAATATTAATCTGTGAAAGGTGATAAGTCAGTTCAATTTATTTTCGTTTTTTTTTTTTTCTAAGCTAAAAAATCTTAAAAGAATGAGTCTAACACGAAGACGAAATTCAATATTACCGAAATTCAATATTATCGTGACGTTTAGGATTGCTTTGAATATAAATATAAACATTTTCAAGATTTCGCTTTTCTGTTACTATGGCGGTCTACTTTTAGGCTAACTTGTAAAATTAAATAAGTTTAGTTCGCGTATATTCCAAAACACTAAACATCTAATATTTTTACATGAAATCTTTAACTCAATCTATAGATAGGCCTAGGCTGCGTGGGCGATTCATCGCCACGCCTTAGTAAATATAATCGATTTATTCAATTTATAAACAACGATTAGAAGTATAGCGGAAATTTTAATATGGGGTGATCAACGTGACAGTTCGGTTTTCGAGCAAGCAGCGCTTAATAACTCGGAGGATGACTTCTTTAACGTACTGTCAGAAACATGGTTTAGTGTAAAGCGTCAAATGGTTAGGTGAAATGTGCCACGGCCTTGCGGACGTGGATATTGACGGCGAGGATGAAAAATATAATTTCGGTATTAAAATGCTGGAAGGCATAGCACCGAAGCGATATGATAATTATTTTCTGGCTAAAAGTTACTTTGATGTACGTGAATATGATAGAGCTGCTCACTTAGTGCGGAATGGTAGTTCTCTAGTTCCCAGATTCCTCCATTTTTATGCCACTTATATGGCAGTGGAGAAACGACGGTTGGATTCGAACAATCGAATCTAAATGACTCAGGTCACTTTAAAGACCAGGGTGAGATTTTGGTTACTTTGCGGCAGAGCATTCGCGAAATAAATTAGATGGTTACGGCATGTATTTATACGGTGTTGTGATAGAAGAGCAAAAGCGACCAAGTCAAGGAAAAAGAATCGGAAACAATAAGGAAACCATTAAAAAGAATAACAATTTTTTTTATATATATTTTTATAAATATTATAATAAAGCTATTTATATTTAAATATAAATTATATAAATTAATATACAGCAACAGGAAAGGCCACTTTTAATTTTACCAATGACAAATCAAAGAAATCCTGAATTCATGGATTTTTCATTATCATTTCATTCCGGAAGTGTTATTAAACCAATATCCGGTCGT